TTAATTCTAATTGACTCATTAAGTATAAGTCACTCCTTCCAGCTTGTCTTCATAGAATAAAATCTTTTTCGTCTCTGGAATGTTTGTCAAGTAGTTTTAAGCTCCTCTTTTTTTCAAGGATTTCTCAACCTTGTTAATGTCCATGAGGAGAAAGTCCCAAACTTGTCTTTTTAAAAGTTGGAGATTTTCTTGGAGCTCTACTTTCAATTGTGTCGTATGACTTATATTTAAACCATCATAATAAAAATTTATTTATATTCCAAAATTGTAATTGACTCCTCTGCATTGACAGCTACCTGTGAAATTGCCTCAGTGGTTTGGTAATTTTCTACACATATTTACATCTCTGAAGTAGTTTGAGAAGTTTTTTTTTTTAAAAAAAAAACATCCTTGGAGTCTAGTTGATCTATGAACTGATGGATTTTATTTAAAGACTTTTCAAATACATCTCTAATAACTTGTTCCTTCATCTTCTTTACTCCCTCTTTAGTCAAAGAGTAGCTCACTTAACTCTCTTAAGAATTGGTAGCCAACTTTCCAATTGTTTATGATTCCTGATTGGAAGAACAAACTTCTAATCTGCTTTGCATAATATATATTATGATTTATTATAAAAAAGATATTCCCATTAGAACAGGTTAACATTCTTGGGATTCAGAGTACACTTTTAGTTTTACTCCCAGCTCCATGTAATAAACAGGAACAACCCATGATATAATGACATCACTAGATTAAATGAGTTTGGGAGGATTTGGGTTATTTCGAAAAGCAAAATTCACACATTTAAGACAGATAAATGAAAAGAAAAGAAAAAAGGGAAGTAGATCAAAATCAGATTTTGCCACTAAATGTCAGCTTTGTGATTTAGAAGTGTTCTAGGGCTATATAAAAAATGGGGAGTTGCATTTCCTCACTGAGAAGAAAGCCAACAGCAAATTAAAAAATTATAATTAAAAACATTGTCCCATTTTCCTCTGCTGCACATCATTATACTATGCATTTTTAATTCAATTATATTTTATTGGGTGCCTTTGAAAACTAGTTATGTTCCCTTAACTTTTAATTGTATAGTTTTTTAAAAATATATATTCATTAGTTATATCTATTATGTTAATTGCATTGGAACTTCTATTGTATTTTATTACTGCTATCAAAGTCATTTATTGCTGATGGCATTGATTTTTCCTAACTAGTAGGACATGGGATTGGAACAAACATCTTACAGAACACTTTTTGGGGTGGCGACTTCAAGTCAACGTTAACTCCTGGAGACTGCTTGAACAAGTCCCTGCAGTCGTTTGCCATTACCTCCATCCTTGGGCTGAGAGAATGACTAGCCCAAGATCACCCAGCTGCCTTTGTCTTTCAGGCAGGTCTATAACTCACAGTTTCTTGGTTTCTAGCCTGGTACTTTAGCCAAAGTACACCAAACTGACTCTCTAATGCTTCACACTGTATAGCAATGTATCATTTAAAAAGGACCTGTTTGCCAAAGTGCATTTGTGTTATTCTTTGATATTCCTTATTTTGTCACTTAATATTAAGACCTTTTGATGAGGAGTTTGACCATTGTCAAAGCAGTGCAAACTATTTTAAAGCTCTGGACATTTTCTTAAAATCAACATGTAAAAATAATAGCTCTCTCTCTCTTGTTGTCCTTTTGACAACCAAATATTGCTGATTTTTAGCTTGCCTATCTCAAGCAATGTTTAATTGCTCTTGAGATCTATGAATCTGAAAGTGACGGATGATTAAAAGACAACTTCTTTGTTCTAAATAGTAGGGGGTGGGTTGTATGCAAAATTAAAAAGCTAATTAAAAAAAACCACCAAAGTTTATTCTATTTTAGTACCACTTTTAATCTATTTCTGCTTGTTCATGTTCTAGTTCCTGTGTTCAAAATATAGAAAAAAAAACATTTGAAGACAGAGAAGTACTGAAAGGTAAAGTAGAGATTATTCAGCTTCATAGTCCATCAAGCCACTTCAAAATCATCATCACCATCCATTCCTCACTGCACATATAATTTGGCTGGATATGTGAAAAGACATTTGCAATATTCACATCAAATATGACCTAACTGGCGGTGGCAAAAGGACATAGTGTAAGAAATTGCATGCATACTATACAAATTCATTACTTTAGCACACTGAATAGTTCTAATACAGGGGTCACCAACCTGTGGGCCGTGGTCCACTACTGGCTACTGGGCCATAGGACAGCCTGGCCAGTGCATGTACACATGTACATGCACTCACCCCCACTCATGCTAGCACCACCGCTATGCAAATAGGGCACCATGTGGCAAAAACGGGGTGTTGCGCAGTGAAAATAAGTTGGTGCTAGTGCCCACATGGTAAAAGCAGGACAGTGCTAGCAAGTGGTGCACAGGTGCTCACGGCCCTGTTTGTGTGCACGTGCATGCATATGCGTAAAATGCTCCTCCCTCCTTTTACCTCTGGTCCACCAATTGAGAAAGGTTGGAGACCTCTGTTGTAATAGATCATTTTACATTTACAGCTGTGTAGATAAATGGGGGCAGAAAGCCAACCTGAAACACTTACAATCTGATAACTTCAACTGTATCATTTAGGGCAAATTGAGAGTTGTATTGTGAAAAGATTATATACCAGAAATGTTTGAGGATTTAGTAATTACCCATTACTCACAGACTTACAAACAGCTATAGAAAATTTTAAATTTAGAAGTAATCTATACCAGAGACAGAAGAGCTATATATTGCACCATATTCCTCTTATAAGCTTCCAAGATGCAGCTGGTAAGCTGTTGCTGGCCACATAATGGTAGCCTACAGAAGAATCTTGATTTGATCCAAGGCCACTTACCATATATATTTTTAAAATAACCCGTGACCAGAGTTCACAAACACTGGGAGCTAGATATACTTTTAAGAGATTTGAGCCCATCACTCCATATATTCTTCCATAAAATAAAGTCACAATATAGGATTTATTTTCCTTTTGAAGATCGTCAAAATAAATAGATCTTTATCTTTCTACTTTGTTTGTACTTGTGATATGTTTTGACAATTCAAATTATGAACTGTTTTGGAACTGCAGGTTAAGTAAATGTTACACACTTCTCTTAAAACAATCAGAAAGTTAAGAGTGCTTTAAATTATCTTTTTGGCTTGTCAGACATCTATAAAGTCCCATACTGTTTTTATCACTTCATTTAATAATTAACATTTTATAATACCAGCCTTATTTCATCATGCTGTGCACTGAAGTTGTCAAACAATGTTCTTTACCTTTGTTTCATATAATTACAAATGATATTGCTCTAGGAAATATAAATAGTGCCAATCTGAACATGTACCTATTTGCTTGTTGAAGATCCACCGTTCTGAGTTTCATGCTATATATTTCTGAGGTAGACATAAACACCATTTGCTATTAAATATAGTTGCACAGTAGCAGAAGGTTTATATTGTGTTATTTGTAACATTTTATGCTGTTAGAACAACTGTCAGCTCCTCAAGATCACAAGCCAGGAAACGGAGTCTTCAAGAATAGTGGAATACTATTAATATAGGCCAGTGGTGGGATTCAAATATCTGAACAACCGGTTCTCTGTGTGGATGCCGCTTCCGGAAGTCCGTTCTGGGCCTTGAAAGCCTGAGTTTTCCCCCTTCCTTTTTATAACTAAGAGCTTTAAGGCAATGTCAATGTAAGTTTTTTTTCTAATGTTTTCTTCCTGTCCTCTATATTATTCTAACTGCCTTATTCATATGTCACATTTGTAGCAATCAATATGAAATATTTCACACCTGCATATTCTTGTTCCTAATGGGACAAAAATACTAGATTCTTTCATCCCAGATACATATCATAGCATAAATAGGGGAAAAAAATCAAAATATGTTTAATTAGAAATTTGGAGCAGGGCAGAAAAGCTATGGGCACCTTTTTTTGTATTCCTTGGCCAAACCCTCATTCCAACTTTGAAGAGGGAAAAGCAATTAATCCAATGATACTTACTATTGTATGGGTAATAACTTTTATCTTAAATCAAGTTTACTACATTCATGACTCATAACAAGGCCAGAGTTAATAGAATAGCATTCCAGCTTCCCAGGACACTCATACAAATTTCAAGGTCGGTATTTTAGAATAAGGAAATCACACCAGTGTTATAGAGTGCAAGATTGGTGGACTCACATATATCAGAAAGGTTCAGGTTATCTTACAAGGCTTTAACACAAAGAATGTTTTTAGCCTATGGTAAACTGTAATTGAAGAGCTGTCTTATGTAATCTACTTCTAGTATGCCATAGTGGAGTACTAGACTACTTCTAGTAGTCACACTTTCTCCTATGAGGTGCGCTAATCAAGAAAAATGGTGACTAGCTCAAACTATTTTTATATATATATACCATCTACAAGGCCTTTGAGAAATCAGAGCCTTTGAGTCGCCTTTGCGGATTATCAAGAATGAACTCATCAACATAAAATTTCGAAAGAGCCACGTGACAAAAGAACCCCACAAAACTCTCTCTACTTTGAGAAGCAGAAAGAATTGAAAGGAAGAAAAAGAACTGGAAAACCAGCCACTGCTCAAATCTTTCGATTACTTCACTTTGCCAATACAAATGTGAGGATGAACCGGGGAGAGAGAGAGAGAGAGAGAGAGAGAGCAACATCAGCACCCAAAGACTCAACAGGAAGAGGGTGGAGGAGAGAGAGAGACGAGCAAAACAGCGTGAAGTAAACGCCAAGCCGCGGCGCTTCTTTCTTCTCGCCTTCCCCTCTTTCGCACCGTGACGCAAGCTCTCGGGTAATCCGAGACTGCACATTGGCAGGGCGCGCGCGCGCGCGCAGACCCTGACTCACCCAATCCTTCGCTTCTTCCTCGACTTCTCACTTCTCCCCCTCCCCGGCCCTCAGTCTGTAGATCCTCCCCTTTTTAAGAACTCTGAGCCATCCTCCCCCGCCCACGCTCGGCATCTCCTTCCACAGTCCCTTGAGTTGGTATGACAGAAACTAATTATGCCGCTTTCCCGGGAAGGCAGATAAGCGGGAGGCGGAGGACTTGACAAGTGAGAGGGGTGGCGCGCGCTGGCGCCTAGCCAAGCCTAGCCTGGCCCGCCCCTCCATTTCTTTCCAGTCTGACTCTGCCCACTGGATCCCCGGGCTGGTTTGCTAAGCCTTTCCCGCGAGCCGCTTCCCAGCAGCCATGAACCGCGCGGGGAAGAAAAATGAAGAGACTCTCATCGAGATGGGGCAGACCAACGACGGTGAGTAGGCCAAGAGGAGGGCGGGAGGTTTCGTTCCTTAATTTGCAAGAGGATTGCTCCAGAAGAAACTCCGGTCCCTTTTATCTCGCCGAGGCGGCTGTTCGGCCAGATCTCGGGAATCTCTGGGATCCTTCAATCCGCCGTTTCTATTGCTTTTCTGCCTATTCCGATCCGGAAGATTTCGGGGCCTTCTGGTTTCGGATATAACGGTGCTTAAAACCAACCGGCCGGATCCGGGTTGGGTAGGGCTGATGGCGTAGCCCAGTCCCGGCCTTGATCGTCGGGTTCGATTGGTAGCCATGAATGTCCGGTGTTTGTTTAAAATAATAATTAAAAAATGTTTTGCTTTAGGCATGCTTTTTCCAGCTGTCCACTCTGGTGGGGGGAAAATCAGTGAACTTGAGGTTCTGGACACAATACGAAGCAAAAAAGCATGGATTCCCAGGCGGCCATAGCAGGAGGGCGGCACCCTCCTAAAAACCTTGGCATTTGCAAAGGACGATTTCATCTTCCCCCCCCCCCAAAAGCCACTTCATATGATCACTTCTACATTGTTCCACAAGAATGCACACTAAGACACGTGCAAACAGCATTGGAGTACAGGCAGCGTTGCATACCTACCTTCTGTTTAGTAGAAATAATGGGTAGTGGTGTAGGTCTAGAGATCATATTATGGTGATTTTAGAGTAGTAACAAATCAGAGGAATAAGCATATTTAAGCACAATTCTCCAAGAAAGAGAAAAATCGATTGCCCCAGAAAAAATAGGTTTGCGGGTTTTTTAATTGTTTTTGAGACCCAAAGATATGATAAAGTCCTATGTGAACTTTATTTGGGCCTGGAGTTAGTTCAGTCCTTTTTGAATGAAAAGCTGCTTAAAACATGAGTTATGAGAGAGATGCTATTGTGAATAAGAAATAATATGATGAAATGAACTCTTAATACAGCAGTTCCCAACCTTTTCTATACCCCGCACCCCTAGAACGCTTCTGATATATTCTCGCACCCCTTACAAAATTAATACCTGGTTATGCATATACATTATAATTTTGAAACTTCTAAATCCAAGTTTTCGCACCACCTGGAATATCCTCTCACACCCCCAGGGAACCCCAGTCTTAATAGAATTGGTGGAAACAAGCTTTTTTCTTTCTCCCCAGAGTTGCTTAAAGTGCCATTTCACCTGATGGCATCAGAAGTTACTTTAGACCAGACATGTCAAACTCGTGATATCACGTGACGTCATGTGACATATTGGAGCTTTTTCGCCGTTGCCGGCAATGGGGTGGGCGTGGCTCCGATATGATGAAACTGGACCGTGGGCCGGCGGTTTGACACCCCTGCTTTAGACCTTCAACTTAATGGCATATGTTCCTTTTCTTCATTAGATGCTAACATTTTATTTTTGTTGTGCTCTTTCTGCTCATTTTCTCCTACTTGTCATCTATGATGTTCTCATTTGAGAAAGATAAAACAGGATGAAGTGATTATTTGGTTAGGCTAGAGTCAACTATATGGTACTTCTTTTCCTAGAAAATGTAAATCAGGATATGCAGATTATTGAACTTTTTGAAAGTGTCCAAGGAGCACACTGATTGTTTCAATCTTAAATCGAAGAACTACAGTTGGACTGTTTAGTAATATCTTCTCAAATTTATTCCACACACTGTAGTATTTTTTTGCACTGAATAGTTAGATCAGTGATGGCGAACCTTTTAGGGACCGAGTGCCCAAATTCCAACCCAAAACCCACTTATGCATCATTGGGTGCCGGGTGGGTGTGGCCCATTGGGTGGGTGTGGCCCATTGGGTGGGCGTGGCTGCAGTAACTGGGTGAGACTAAAAAGTTCAATCAATCAATTCCAACTTTGCAAGATGTTTTTTCCCCTGCGAGAAGTTGAAATTGACTGATTGAACCTCTTTTATTTTTGCACACAGCGGCAAAGGCCTAAAGCGAAAAGATTTTATAAAACCCAGCTGAAGGCCTAGGACTGGGGTGACGACGCACGTGCCCACAGAAAGGGCTCTGAGTGCCGCCTTTGGCACCCATGCTATATGTTCGCCATTACTGAGTTAGAGTGTACATTTTATAGGCAGTGAAGTAGATATTAATAAAGATTGTATTTTCAGGTACTACAGAAGTTTATTTTATTTATTTTTGTAAAATGTATTTGCCACCCGTCTCAGAGGGTGGGAGATGGGGTTGAATTTTAATTAGTCAACCACCTCCAGTATGAAGCTCCTCCATTGGGTCCCCAAACCATCCTGCAGAGCCAGGTCCTAAGGCTCTTTCAGAACATCAGGAGGGTGGGAGCCAATCTTAGCTCAGGGGTTGAGATGTTCCAGAGGACAAAAGCCAGGGCAGAGAAGGCTCTTGGAGCCTCTGAGCCAAAATTCCTTAGCTGACGGGATCCGGAGTATGCCCCCTGTGCCAGCACAGGTGGGATGGGCTAGTCCTACCAGGGTGAGATGGTTCCTCAGATAGTCTGGAGCCATGCCATGCAGGGCTTTAAAGGTGATAACCAACACCTGGAATTGCACTTGGAAACAAACTAGTGCAGCTCCTAAAGCAGTGGTGAAACATGGGCCACTCTAGGGACCCTAAGAACTGCCCTCACCACTGTACTCTTTACGAGTCTAGTTTCCCAATGCTTTTCAAGGGTATAGAGCACATTGCAATATTCCAAAAATGAGATAATTAGGGCTTGAGTGACTAAGTTCAGGGACTTCTGATCCAGCAAAGGACACATACAAAATGAAGTTGTGCAAAGGCTCTCCTAGCCATGACTGCCACCTGCTCTTCGAGTTGTGGACTGGATGTGGGAAGTGCCACCCCATCCAAAACTAAAGAAGTTTAAGTGCTGGATCTTGAAGCTCCATGCACTTAAAGTTATTCAATCTTGTCAGGGTTCAGCTGAACCCTGTTGTCCCACATCCAGATCCCCACAGCCACCAGCACCACAAGAGGGCAGCCACAGCATCATTTGGGTCACCAGGGTGAAGATACCTCAACCCTTGGTGAAGGATGATCTCACTCAGTGGTTCCATGTAGATATTAAAGAGGAGTGGAGAGAGTATTGAGCCCTGCAACACATCACAAAATAGAAGCCAAGGACTAGATCTCTCACTCCCTTTTAACATTAATTGGGACTGGCTTTTGAGAAAGAAGCTGAACTGGCATAATAAGTCTCTGCTGTTACAGGAGAAGAGGATGGAGTAGTATAAAAAGAGAGCAAATTACCTAACTCTGGTAGAGTGGAAAACCAAAAAGTAACACAGTACATATGATGTAAACAGAACATGTTGGAAATAGCTAGCTTGGATAAGTGACTTCAGCAAACCTTTCCTAGATGGCTGTATTATATACAAACTTTAACCTGTTTGCACCTATAGCAGCTCAACAGATGCTTGACTGTATGTAAGCTCTAAAGCTGAGCATTTGGATTGGAAGCAAACAATATTGGAGCTGTAGATTTAAATGCAATGTCAAACTACTTTCATTCTGTTGACAAGAAAACTATATGGCAGTGATGGTGAACCTTTTAGAGACCAAGTGCCCAAATTGCAACCCAAAACCCACTATGTATCGTCAGGTGCCAGGTGGGCATGGCCCATTGGGTGGGCATGGCCCATTGGGTGGGTGTGGTCCATTGGGTGGGTGTGGCCCATTGGGTGGGCATGGCTATGATGGAAATGGCAGACTGGGTGGGACTAAAAAGTTCAATCAATCAATTCCAACTTTGAGAGATTTTTTTTCCCCCGTGAGAAGTTGACATTGATTGATTGATTGAACCTTTTTTTCCCTTTTGCACATGGCGGCAGAGGCCTAAAGCGAAAAGGTTTTATAAAACCCATCTGAAGGCCTAGGACTGGGGCGACAGCGTGCGCGCCCACTGAGAGGGCTCTGCATGCCACAGATTTGCCACCATGGCTATATGAACATGACCATGAAGTTAGTTTGATGTAGAAGTTAAACTAGGTTCTTAGTCCATCTTCAGTGCATTGAGTGATTAGGTCTACCACTTTTGGTACAACCTTCCTCACAGAGATGTGGCGGAAAAAGTTGGAGAAGGAAGTGCTACACATTGCTACTTTGAGTTCCAGGATATAAATTGAATAAATAAAGTATAGAATAGTCTCCAGGTTTTGAGTTTGACTCAAAGGAGTCTTTACCTCCAGCATCTTATTTTAATCACTTGGATTAATCATGCTGGCTGAGGAATTCTGGGAGTTGGAATCCACAAGTCATAAAAGGGCCAAGTTTGAAGACCCCTCCATTGTTGCTATAATCAAGCCCATCCACTTTGCATCTAGGCATTCTATTCTTTTTTTCCCTTTTGCCTTTGTCAGCATTATGGACTTCTCAAGAGAGAGAGAACTTCTCATGTGACGAGTATGATAATCTAAGCCTATTCACTTGTGCCTTGAAGTGTTTTGTTTCATAATTCATTTGTTTGTTTTCTGGGCTGTCCATGATAATTTCTGGCATCTTCTCCAACACCAGAGTTGAAAAGCATTAATAGTTTTTCTCAAATGAAGGCAACTAATCTTCCTTTCCTGCTTCTTCAAAGTTCAACTTCCACTTCAAACGTCAACAGTTCATTTCATGCTGTTATCATACCAAAATGAAAATGTATCCAGGTGTTTTAGATTAGTGAATATGATCTTTCGATCCAGAGCCATGCTATTCTATTGCATTAAATTAGTCATATTCCACTGAATTTAGGTATCACCAACCTGTTCTCAAATTATCTACTACATTATAATAATATGAGTGTAATACTGGTTATTCCTATTAATATATTTTTCATGTATTTAATACCCTACTCTTCACAGTAATTAGGACCAGAATTGGTAAGCGGTGCAGTTGTAAAGCATGATATAGCATGTTCATACAGCTTAGCAATGAAAATTCTGGCACTTACAATGCAAGATAAGTATGATGTCATATGGTCACCAAATTATGTTGGTGCTGAATGAGTGGGTACTTATCCCCAGCTG